TGTATGTGTCCTCAGGGAAGAATACATACTGGAACCACCATGTGGGGGAAACAGTCTTTTATGTGGAAATATACTAAAGGTAGTAGTTACCACCTCTCTGCAGGAAAGATGCACTGAGAGAGACATTGGGCAGTTTTAAATTAAAAAAAAAAAGCTGCAATGTCTCCTATGCAGCAAAAAAACAAAAAAGAATCTAATTTCTCAGAAGTCCTCAGGGAAGAATACATACTGGAACCACCATGTGGGGGAAACAGTCTTTTATGTGGAAATATACTAAAGGTAGTAGTTACCACCTCTCTGCAGGAAAGATGCACTGAGAGAGACATTGGGCAGTTTTAAATTAAAAAAAAAAAGCTGCAATGTCTCCTATGCAGCAAAAAAACAAAAAAGAATCTAATTTCTCAGAATCATGTCACCCTTTGCCCCCTCTGAAGAAACTTCTCAGTTAATGTCAACTTAAGACAAAAATCAAACTCCCAAGGCCATAAATGTGGTCATCTTTGAGGAGCGCACACCAATGGCCACAAAAAAAGAAATGGGACTATCGAGGTTCCATTAGAAGAACAGTCTAATGGAGAGAATGAATCATGGCCAGACTTCTTGAGTGTCAACAGCTCGAGAAAACTGTGAAAGAAGGTGTGTTATTCACTACCAACCATATGGTATACGTCATATCCCTGCATTTTACAGTCACACAATATATTTACTTTAGACAGCAGCAAACAGGACCTTTATCAGGTGACATAATACAGTATCATATTACTCCAATTCCTACAAATGTACACAGCTACCACTCCACTCTTACATCTCACCTCCTTTTCCTGCTGCTTCCATTGGCTCCTTGGGGTTTGTTGATCTGAGTGGACACGATCTGACAGTGAACAGTTCCCATCAGTAGCATAAGGCACATTGGTCCAATGATTTCACTTGCACTCACAACAGGTATCATGAAATACAACACAAGTGCTGTAACTGAAAAGGAAAAATAGTATCAAATGCAAAGGTTACACTGGGAAACCCCTATGTAAGGGCAGAAAGAGGCATATGTCAGTTTTTATTTGTCACAATGATTCATTTTGTTCACTTTAAATTATTTTGCAGATACTATTTCCGCCCTCATCTTATGTGGTCCTGGTACTGCTTCTCTGAAATTCCTTCTTGCTTCACAATGGGATTTGTAAGTACATTAAAACAAAGAACAGGACCATGAAAGAGAGAAAAAAAAGTGTGCAAAAATTATTTTGCTCTGCCAGAATGTTCTCTGAGAACCATTCACAATCTTCAGAGGATACAATTTCAGACCACTTCAAGAAATGACCATTACAGAAGGTGGACCAACACAAAGCGGAGGGAGGATAGACATCACCTTCACTAACCATTTCTGCCAAAGCAGAGTCAGATAAGCAACTCATCCACAGAACAGATCCAGCATGAGATGTGGTAAAGTAAATTTCTTTCACCTTGTGCCCTCCTTTCTAGCCTAGAAAATCATCTCAAAAGAAGGTGAGGGGAATCCAACCCCAGCATGAAGAACCAGATAATCAAATATTCTTGGAACTTCATGGAAAAATCCATGGGAACCCAGACACCAGTAGAGAGAAACTAATTAAGTTTTTAGACTTCAAGGCCAAAAGGGACCATTATGACCATCTAATCTAGTGATTTTCAAAGTACGGATTGCAACACAGTCACCTTGCTGTAAATCAGTGGTCTCCAACCTTTTTATGCCTAAGATCACTTTTTAAATGTCAGAAAGAGTCACGATCTACCCCATCCTTTCCCCAAATCCCACCCCTTCCTTGAAGCCCCGCCTTCTCTGTTCTCCTCCTCACCATCACTTGCAATCTGCAGCCCTTATACACTCTCGGGGTATGGCTACACTGCCGCTTTTTTAAAAATCTTTCTGTAAGAAGAGGTTTTTCCAACATTTGGCCCATCTAGACTGGGCCAAATGTTGGAAAACCCCCTTCTTTCAGAAGCCCCCTTATTCCTACTGGAACAAGGAATACAGGGGTTGCCGAAAGAGCATGTTTGCTCTTCCACTAAAAAAAAAAAGCATAAGAACAAACAAGTGCTTGGACATGGAAGAGTTTTTCCGGGATACCTCTGGTACCCTCACTGGGTTGAGACAGGAGGTGCAGGCTCTGGGGTGGGAACGAGGGATTTGGATGTGGGAACAGGTGAGAGCTGCAAACTCTGGGAGGGAATTTGGATGAAGGAGGATGTGGAGAAGGGGATCCTGGCTCGTGGAGAGAGGGGCTGCTGAGCAAGCCACAGGCGTGTGGATGTGAAGATACAGGAGTTTGTGCTGGGTGTGTGAGGGACTCAGAACAGGGAGGTTGGGAGTATGATGGGCTCAGGATACAGATTTGCGGTGTGTGGATGGTACAGGAGTGTTGTGGCAGAAGACTGAGGATGTGGGGCTCAGGACAGGGGGTTCCAGTGTATGATGGGCTCAGATTTGGGTGGGGGGAGGGGGGAAGGATGTACAGGAGTGTTATGATGCTGCGACCAGATGTGGGCTTGACGGCCAGGCTTCATTTTTAAATATGTCAAACATGCAAAATTTCAGCATTGTCTTTATTTATGAGAGGGTGGGGAACCTGTTTGAGTCAGGGGTCACTGACCCACAGAATAGTCAGTTGGGGCCACACAAGTGAGATGCAAAAAAACAACCCATCCAAAATCCCACAAGCCTCATTAATGTGGGCCCAACTGTGCTGGTGAAGGCAGGGTAATGGTGGGTGCTGGGGCAGAAAATAGGGTGCTGGGCAAGGTGCCAGTAGGTGCTAGGTCAGGGTGCCAGTGGGTGTTGGGGTAGGGTACCAGGAGTCCCCTGGCGCCCGGGACTCCTACATCTCCCCTCCCCCCACTCTACCACATAGGAAGGCAGCAGGAGAAGGAAATCCCTGGTGCACGCCTACTTCCAGGACTCCTACTCCCTCTCGCATGCAGAAAGGCAGCACGTGCCTCCTCCCATGCTGCTTGGGGGTGGGGAGGAATGGGGGGGCCCCTAATGCCTCACGATCAACTTGTTGACCGCTCCCAATCAACCAGTTGATCACGATTGATGGGTTGGTGACCATGGCTGTAGAGCAGTGTTTCCCAATTTTATTTGGCCAAGGAACCCTTTTCAGAATTTCAAGGAACCCCTAGGTTTGTCAAGGAAAAAAAAAAGAGGGGGGGGCCGGAGGAGAGAGGGACCCACCAATTCATGAAAATCACATTCCTTCCCTGCCCCCCAACCTCCCTTCCGTGAGGCCTCATCTGCTCTGTTCCCCTGCTCTCCATCACTTGCTATCCCCAGCCCTTATACCTGTCTCAACCTAGTGAGAGTGAGGTGTGGGGTGGGAATGAGGGATTTGGATGTGGGAAGGGGTGAGAAGTACAAGCTCTGGGAGGGAATTTGGATGCAGGAGAAGGGGCTGTTGGCTTAAGAAGGGGGCTCTAGGCTGGGGTGTGTTGGGCTCAGGTGGAAGGTTGGGGTGCTGAGCAAGCCAGGGCTTGTGGATGTGAGGGTGCAGGAGGTTGGGCTGGATATGTGAGGGACTGAGGGCAAGAAGGCTGTGAGTATGATGGGCTCAGGACACAGATTTGTGATGTGTGGATGATGCAGGAATGTTGTGGCAGAAGACTGAGGATGTGGGGATGCAGGAGTTTGGGGATGTAAGAGGCTCAGGACAGGGGGTTCCAGTGTATGATAGGCTCAGATTTGGGGTCAGGTGGTGCAGGAGTGTTATGATGTTGCAGTGAAATGGGGGTTTGGTCCCAATTGGGGGCTTGTTGGCCAGGCTTCATTTTTAAATAAAATATTATGTCAAACTCAAAAGGTTTTAGCATTGTCTTTATATGTGAGAGGGGTGAGGAACCTGTTTTGAGTCAAAGGTCACTGACCCATAGAAAAGTCAGTTGGGGCCACACAAGTGAGATGCAAAAAACAAAACAAAAACCCTCCAAAAACCCCCAAGCCTCACTAATGTGGGGGTAGGGGACAGAGTGCTAGTGGGTGCTAGGGCTGGGGAGAGGGTGCTGCTGGGTGGAAGGATGCTGGCTCAGGTGGCAGGGTGCGGGGGCAGGGTGCTGGGGCAGGCAGGTGGCAGGGTGCTGGGGTCAGGGACATAGTCCTGCTGGGCACTAGGGTGACTGGCAGGGTGCTGGGACAAGGAACAGGGTGCTGCTGGGGCCAGGGCGGTGCTGAGTCTCGGGGTGTGAGGCAAGGTGATGGGGCCAGGGTGGTGTTGGGTGCTAGGGTGGATGGCAGGGCTGCCAAGGAGCAGGATAGGGGTGGGGTGCAGGGTCTGGGGATGGGACAAGGAACAGGGTGCTGCTGGGTGCTAGTGTGGATGGCAGGGGGCTGGGGCTGGGGCCAGGGCCAGGGCCATGGTGGTGCTGAGTCCTGGGATGTGAGGCAAGGTGCTGGGGCCAGGGCGGTGCTAGGGTGGATGGCAGGGCTGCCAAGGAGTGGGATAGGGATGGGGTGCAGGATCTGGGAGGGAGCTGGGGGGCGGAAGGGGACAAGGTCTGGGTAGGGTGCAGACCAGATAGGTAGGGTGCAGAAGAAGGCTGGAGATAGGGTGTCTGGCTACGAGGAAGGGTGCGAGGAGGGGACTTGGGTAGGAGTTGGACCTCCCTGATCTGGCACCCTCTAGACCTGACTACTCAGCTGAGCCCCATTTACCTGCACCTCCTCCAAGCCCCCACAAAACTGCTGAGCCAAGAGCCCATTCCCTGCCCCTCCCTCCCCTTGAGTCTAGCCCCCGGTTTCCGGCATCTCCCTCCTCCTGCAGCCAAACTGAGCTCTGAGCCACCCACCCACACCCCCAGCCCAGCCCAGCCCAGCCCAGCCCAGCCCAATTTCCCTGTACCTTCCCCCAAACCATACAGACATGCTGAGCCAGTGCTGATTCCCTGCCTCTGCCTTCCTCCCTCCCTTTGGCTGTGTCTACACTGGCATGATCTTGCGCCCAAGCAG